GCTTGCCCATACGCTCTCATGGAGCGTTTGTACCTAGAAAGTGACCCACGACTGCTAAAGCAAACAACTACGCTTGGACAAAAGAAAGCTTAAAGCGTAAGGGCTGAGCACGTACATTAAATCACAGTAAACCAGTGCGCATGCACTCAAAACAACTTGATTATGAATGTAGGTCTTGGACAGTTTGAGACACTTAGTTAGCAGGACTCATATGACTGATGTATAGATAGTGAAAATGCCAAGCAACTTGAATTTCAGGACGTACAAAGCCTTAAAAAGTACCCTACTATTAGAACAATGGTCTCCAACCACTGAAAGGAGGGAATCACACTCTAGGTTGCAATGGAGCACCTGGAGAAAGGAATAAAGCTCTTGGCAACAAAGTAAACTACAACAAGCAGAGACCCTTACTTTGCATAGTGAAAAATACCCTAATTCATTTTTCTATTTACCTGTTAAGGAAAAAACAAAACAAAACCAAAGTCCCAAAAACAAAACAACAAAGGAGAATGGATCTTCATCCACAATATTACTACTGAACCCAAAATTTTTGCAGTCTGGTATGCCAGGGACTTCTCTCCTACAATTTCCAGTGAAGATGCAAAGTTACTGACTGTAACAGTACTTTCACCATTCTGACAGTTTATTTTAGTTTTGGTTAAACAAGAAACAGGACTGTGTTAATCTCACGATATTGCATCACTTACACAGTAGCCAAGAGATAGGAAAACCTTCTGCTTGCTTCCATGATGGATCAGTATTTAACTAGCAACACACAGGTGAAAGGCCTGGTTTCCTAACATTTTTGTTCACATTGTTTCCAGTCAAGCAACTTCGAACAGCATCATTTCAAACACTGGAGTTAAAACAATACAAAAGCATCCCAGATGGGCTCGAAGGAACAGAGTGCTTGAAAACACCCACTGGTACGTCAGTGCAACCTCCTGCCTCGAACCATTCTGCACCATGCTCAGGTCACAAAGGAAAAATCCATTGCGTCAGCAATCCGTACTAGATGGTGAGGAATTACAAAGGACTATTTCTGTGAGTGGTGTTCAGCTCCTGGTTTGAGACCTACCCTCAGAGTTATGTGGATCCTCAGGTCATAGTAGCGTTTGTTAGTGTTTAGTTTCCCCGCTCTCTTCCCCTTGTTTTGCTCACAACTGCTTCTAACCTGTTTGTTTTCAAAGGCTGTCCAGAAGACAGACATCCCCATGCACAGCAATGAAGAGAAAGATTGTTTACTTCTCCTTTGCCAGTATCTAAAGAATCCTAGGAAAACAAAGAAGCTATATACAACAGAGTAAGCCAAGAGCAAAAAAAGACTTTCATCATAAAAACCTCCCTTCCTTCGACAGAAGTTATAGTTTCTCAGTAAAGAACAAACCCAGGACAAGTCATTCAGAGCTCCTTTCATCTGACAGATCTGATCTTCAGCATAACTGCATGGGCTGTAGCTCTGTATAAAATATCAACCATGTCTTGGGAGATTTCAGTGAATTCTTTTGAGATTTCATTGAAAAATGTGTTAAAAAGTAATTGAATATTATTTTACAAAGTAAAATGCTAAAGCTATTATAATTCTGGTGTGGCTTAGTTACCAGAAATACATTTTCCCCTTAAATCTTTCATCACAAACAGTGCCTAAAGGACAAGCTAACCATATACCACTTCCCACCTGTTTTTACTTCTGCTAGAACAGCCCAGCATCATTTAAGACCACCAGATCTATTTTGGAACAGCAGTGAAGATGAAAAGCAGGAAGAAAAGCAGTACTAGAGTGCAACATTGATATCTGCAGGCAGTTTTTGCAGATGGCAGCAATCCACGAGAATGAAAACAAACACACACACAAAAAAAAAAAATCACACTGAAACGCAGAGTACATAGGAACTTTAAGAAATTCACCAAAAATACAGGTTCTTACAAAGAGGTTCAAACTGGATGTATTTCACAATTAGGACAGTTAAGCCCAAAGAGGTTGTGCAGCCTCCATCTTTGGTGGGTTTCAAGACCAGACAAAGACCTAAGTAACCTGGCCTTGAGTCCAGATTTCCAAGTTTCTCTAAAAAACTCCGCTCCAAGGCAGAAGGAGATGTTATTAAAATTATGCATAATCATATCTCAACCCACAAATTAATCCCCATAGGAATTAATTTCAAAATTTAGTTTAAATTATAAAAAAAGACATAGAGCTGGTTTTCAAAGTATTAAAAATGCATATGCCATACATGTATTGTGATCCATCTTAAAAAAAGACTTAGAAACATCATGAGAAGATATGATTTTTTACGATACACATGTACATTGTGTATTTAAGAAAAATTCAGTAGTTCTTTTACCCTTTTTCCTTGTTCAAATAGGAATGGAAAGTCAGTAAAATTATAATACACAAGCAGGAAGTACAGAATGAGAGCATGAGCACAAGGAAACATGCTTGCCAGATTTAGAATATACACAGGGAGTCAAGATGGAGGAATACATGAGAAGGAAAAGCAGGAGCTTTAAGCTATGAGAGAAAGAGATAAATAACAAAGGCATGCCTGCAACGCATAATGCAACAAAACAATCAAAAAGGAAAATTCTAAGACCAGTGCAGAACTACACAATATGTAAGGAAAAAAAAAAATTACCTTATACAACTGCAGCAATTTCTTAAGGGCCCACCAGTAGCCTGCCTTCAGAAGAGATTTCATCCCCTTCTCCATCACGTTTCAACTGCTGTCTATAAGAACTCAAAACCAAGGGAACCATGGGACAGCAGAGTTTGCTGTTACATTCCATTTGTATTCCTCTTTACACCTCTTCCATTTTTAACTGTAGCACAGGATAGTTTTGAAAACATGAGCATAATATCCCTTAAATTAAAACTCTAGATACAATTGTTTCTATTTACGTAACTAGCACACAACACAAATTTCCTTCGATCACAAAAATATTTTGATTCAGTTCTATTGGGAAAAGGTGAAGACTTACTGTTTATCGCTCAAGCCTATGACTGACAGAAAATCCACCTTCATACCACTTTTCACCTTCTAATGACAAAAAGCATTTAGGTATTTTAGCAAAATAAATATGTTGATTTGTTGAAGATTTGTAAACAGAATGACCTTGTTAAATAACTTCTAACTTTATTATGAATCACTTCACTAACTTTATTATGAATATGGAAATAAACAATTAAGGGATCTGAACAGATTGACTACTGCCTAAAATTCCACAGCATTTCTTCAATCAGCTGCACTACGCACTGTTAAGTTTGGGTGAATGGAATAAGGATGTGGGCACGGACATAACATTCCATCAACAACGGGCAAAGAGCTGATGGAATACATACAGTTTGAAGGCGCAGATAGGACCTCAAATGATACTGTAACTGAACAACACATAAGTTTTCTTTAGTGACACACTGCTCCAAATTAAAATCCACGATCGCGTTTCCTTCAACATCTTTGTTGACCATAATTGTCTAACAAACTGGGGATCTTCAACAGGTTAGAGCAAGTAGCTCCCCAAGAATGAACACAAGCTGTAAGGTTCTATTTCAGAAAACAGAGACGACAATAATCAACTGGAAAACTTTTTATTTAAGCAACAAGGTAAAAGTAAAAGCTATTCTACCAAGCAAGGGTTTAAAATTTTGTGTAGCAAAAGTTTAACAGCCAGTGAGAAGAGCAGTAAATTAAGGAGAGGAAGTTATATCGAGTGATAGTCTTCTCTAAACTTGTTTCCAATTCCAATTATAACTGCAAAACCAGCAACTAAAATATCCTCAGTAATCTGCCAATAACCAGTGAAAAACACATAATTAATTAAAGTCACTCCCAAACACTCAAAATGCATGTTAGGAATCATACATCTCTCACCTACCTAGTACACTTGCACCGAAATCTCATTACCAGCCTACATCAAAAGTACAATTTCAGTGTTACTGTCTTGTAGTAAGAAGGAACAGCCAGTCTGCAAAGCTGTCCTTAACGAACCTCCGACAGTGGTGCAGAGCTGCTCTTCTGTGAGTTACATTTGAACTTCCTTTGGTCTCTTGTCTCTTATCCCAAGAGCTACAAAGTGCACTTAGTGGGACTGAAGTAAACTACAGAAAATTCATGCGAAGCCTATGCCATGACCAGATGGCATTATCCTGTGGGCAATGCCAACAGTCAAAATGTACATCTTCTGTTTGTATTAGTAAGGGAGTACATCTTCACAGGATCCACACACGTGGAGTGTCTTACCTGAAAAGATCTTTAAGAATGCACACTATTGGACAAAAGCATAATCCAAAACAGAAGAGAGAGTTCATTCTGGTGAAAACAAAATTGCTGTAGACACAAGCCCACTGACCAGCAAGCACGAAGGAGCCTGCACAAATGCCGTCAGGCACCAAAATGCACACGCCAGAGAAAATCATAAGCATTTTCACAGGGCTTTGTAACAGAGCAGGAAGCATTCTCCATTTGATAGAATCACATTAGTACAATGAATAGCAAGTCCAAATCATTTTTCAGTTCCCATTATATCATTTTCTTGTTGACTTTCAAAATATTTTGTTCAGGTCGTTTTCATGCACCTAACTGGACACGGAAGAGCCACAAGAGTCTGAGCAATCTATCGATAACAAAGAGGTGGTGGTAGGTGGGTAGCAAAAAGCAATGAGCAACTTTTTTAGCCATCTTCTCAGTAATTGAGAAAAGCAATTCTCCACTTCACAAACACTTCGGTTTTCCATTTGGGTGCAAATGCAAACCTTGCTATTTCTCTACTCTGAAGCACAACTGGTCCCTAAGAAAGAACTTCTTCCAAATAATTTAGGCTTGAGTGCCTGATCTGTATTAACTTGCCTAGTCTCAAGCACACAATGCTGTCTTGACACCGACAGATCTTTTGTGCAACTGAATAAACGCCTTCCTTCCACATTTCCCTCATATTCCCAACTATCCTAAAAAGGGATGATTACGTT